ACACAGAGATGCACACAGACACACACAGACACACACAGACACACACAGACGCACACACAGGCACACACACAGACACACACACAGACACACACACAGACGCACACACTGCCCACTGCATTCAGTCCGTGTCTGGGAGCTCCCGTCAGCAGCTCCCTCAGCTGCCAGCCCTCGGGACTCAGCCCCGTCTCGCTGCCCGTCCCGCAGGCTTCCAGCTGAGCCGCCACCTCCTGCAGCTGGTGGTGCTCCGCTACGCGGACCAGGACCTGCAGCTGGGCTTCGACGACTTCCTCAACTGCCTGGTGCGGCTGGAGAACGCCAGCCGTGAGTGTCCAATGTCCTGCGCGTGTCCTCGGCCACCTCCCGGGACCAGGGACAGACAACCTGCCGAAAAGTAGGGCCAAGACCGGGACCTCCTGGTTCATAGGTCAACGCTCAGCCACTGAGCCAGGCCGGCCGGGCCTTCCGTTGTATTTCTCGAGGTCCCAGGTGGCTGTCGGGGCAGCCAGGGGCGACTGGCTGGACCCCTGGGACTAAGAGGGAAACAGAGGCCGAGAGCAGCCACTCTCTTGGGTGCTTGGGAGACGTAGCACCCACAGGGCTCCCCCCTCTCATAAGGGACTCAGGCTTTCAAGACTCACGCAAAACCCCACGTGCCTGCGCTTTCACCCTGGGGGGAGGGGCATGGGTTGCCAGGGGTCTTGGCTCCCAAACAGCTAGGATCAGGCGATGTTTGGGGCCCAGGAGCCGGCTGGATATTGTCGATGACAGACAACACATGCCACCCGGGGGGAAGGCCAGAGTCACCTGAAGCCAGAAGGCGTCATCGACCCCTGAGAGAAAAATTCCCACAGTCACCGCTAACTAACTGCCTGTGGAAGGTGGAATTCGACAAATGATGGAGTTGGATATTTTTTATTTTCATTGTATCCTATAGTACTAGGGGCGGCGTGCTCAGCCTGTTGAAGGACCCGTCCCCCGCAAGGATGCCTTTCTCCGGTCTCTCTCCCATCAGGCGTGTTCCAGGCTCTCAGCACGAAGAAACAAGGAGTTCATTCATCTCAACATAAACGAGGTGAGGCCCAGCCAGACCTCCCGCTCAGGGACCCAGTCAGAGCCGGGCCCACGGTCCATAAACGTTTGCATGATGGCATGTGAGGGTTAAACGTGTAGCTTTGGGGCAAAACAGCAACGCACATGGCTACTCTGTTTATGTCCTGTGCACTTAGCAGTCCATATGATTGCTACAACAGTCCTCCGAGCTCAGGGCGAATAGCCTACCCATTTTGCAGAAGTGGAAACTGAGGCATAGAGAGATTCCTCCCCGGGAGCAGAGCGAGCTAGCAAGCCCCGCCTCCTTCTCCTTCTCTTCCTTCGGCCGCGTGGGCTCCTCAGCCTGCCTTCCAGGCTCCGACTCGCTCACGCCCCCTTGCTCATGTCATCCCAGGGGTCTTGTGATTCCTGGCGTGTGAGTGTGTGTGTGTGTGTGTGTGTGTGTGTGTGTCTGTGCACGCGTACGTGCGCACGTAGGAAGGTATGCACGCGTGCAAACTCCTCAAAAACCCTGAGAAATGGACAATTTTTACCAGCGACATGGGCTGATGACAGCACAAATGATGGAGGGAGGGGCATGAAGCGGGTCCGAGGCTTGGAAGAGGCCCCGAGGTGTGGATCGTCCCCTCCCAGCTGCCCAGTGTGGTCCCTCAGCCAGCGGCGTGGGCGCCACCTAGGGGAGGCGGCTAGAAATGCAGGGTGACTAGAGGCAGCAACACCGTCATACCCTTCAAAGCCGCTGAGCGTCTGACCTCAAAGGCTCCATCCACATGGACCTGAGCTGACTCAGACAGGCACCAGGGCCTCTGGGACATGCAAAGCCCCGAAAACCGACGTTCTTGCATGTTGCCCGTCGAGGCAGACGGCCGTGTCTGCAGGCAGGATGACCAGAGGGCGGAGCTCAGGGCCTGAGCCAACGGGCCACTCCTGAGGCGGATGGGGAGGTGGAGGGTTCACCCTCATCTCTCTCTCTCTCTCTTCTCTTTCTTCCCAGTTCATCAACCTGACAATGAACATCTGAGGCTTCCCCGAGGTGGCGCAGCCGGTCCATTTGGGATCGGACTCTCTCCCCACCCGCTGTCGCTGTCGCTGTCGCACCCTCTCCGCCCCCACAGCCCCCACGCCGCCTGGTCTGGGAAGACTGAAGTGGCCTCGCTGTGCTGTCCGATTCTAGGCTGCTTCTCTGTGACACCACTTCCCTGGCATGGCGGTGCCACCACCGGTGCCTGACGCCCGGCCCAGGCATCCCACCATTC